TGAGGATGCGTTCTCAGCCTTCGTAACTTACCATTTCATACTATAAATACTTCATAAGTTACTATTCATATATTTCAATAAAAGTAATTTATACTTAGAATAATATATGTTATACTGTACAGTATTAAAATAAAAAAAACTGATAAAAAATAAAATAAAATTGTTATTCTTATTTGTATAGTATGTACTGTAGATTGACGAATTTATTTATTATTCATGTAAGTATTATTTATTATTACATTTATTTTTGTCTTTCTATGTAAGATAACGGTTTAAAAATAAAAAGTTCGTTCTACCAAAACTTCGTTTATCGAATATACCTTATGCATATCGAATATTTTGTACGCATATCGAATATACTGTACACATATCAAAGTGTTTATGGCTGTATACGATAAAAAGTCACTGCGTTCATGGCTTAGGCGCTTGCCACAGTTCCCTCCCATGTGAACGCTGCTGCTGCTGCTGCTACAGCTGCTGCTTCTGCTCCTGCTGCATCTGCTGCTCCTGCTGCAGCAGCAGCTACTTCTGCTGCTACTGCCACGCGCAACACACTGCAGACCCTGGTGCGTCTGCATCTTGGGGTCGGCGACCTGCGGCTCCGGAAACGTATGCGGTGGCTCTCTAAGGACTGCAGTGGCAGCTCTTAAAATACCCCAAAAAAATGTCTCTTCTTGTCATTTTGGTTGCCGTGACCCCTGACCATGGAAATCCAGTTTACCACGGGAGTCCAGTTTATCACGGAAGTCCATTTTACCATAGAGGTGCAGTTCCCCATGGAAGTGCAGTTTATCATGGAAGTGCAGTTTTACCATGGGAGTCCAGTATACCATGGGAGTGCAGGCGAGGCACAGCGGCACTTTTGTGGTTCTCCTTCGCGGGAGGCGTTTCCACAGCGATGCAAGATCCCGCAGCCGAGTCTCAGAATCAGATTTTTGTTATTTAGAGCGCGGGAAGGAGGAATCCGATGATGCCGTGAAGCTCTTTTTTTCCACAGATGTCCAGTAGGGCCATGGGGTCAGAAAGTTCTGCCTAGACCCGCGGGAGGTGTCCAGTGGCAGGATCTTCGTGTGGCGGCACGCATTTGTATTGGAGTCAAGTCGACGAGTGCGTGTGTGTGTGCGTGTGCTCGAGTGTTTGTGCTTAAACAGAGGCTGGATTTGCCGCACGACTCCGCGGCTCAGGGCATAACACGGCGCTGTGACGTTTCGCGTACATAGGTACGCGAAGTGACGATGTGGGTACGTGCGTTGAACTTATTTCACACCACCGGGCATAGCCAACCGCTGGTAATCGGAGGTGTGGGGGAAGGACGAAAAACTAAAAAAAAAATCAGTTCTAAAAATAGGAGTTTTAGATTTAAAAGTGCATAGCTTCAGCGGCTGTTTAGCCAACATCATCCCGGGGCAATGCGCTTCTGCTGCTGTCGTGTTCACACACATACACACTCATGGCTGCGTGGGGTTTATCTTCAAGATGTTCACCACGAAACATGTTTAGACTTATTCTTTTAGATCGAGTAAAAGAAATAAAAAAAAACGACGACGACGTTTCGATCACAACACAAGCGATCGTCATCAGGAGGCAAAAAGAGGGGGAAAGCTGCTGAGGCAGACTGTTTTAAAGGTTTAAAATGGGTGTAGCCCTAGGGTCATAAACGAAGTGGGCGGGGATTAGCATGTTAATGTGAGAGCTTAGCATGTTAATGTGAGAGATTAGCACGTTAATGTGAGAGATTAGCATGTTGATGTGAAGGATTAGCGTGTTAATGTAAGAGATTTAACCTGTGAATGTGAAATCAGAGACACAGATAGACTTGGAGAGAGAGAGACATGGAGAGACTTGGAGAGAGAGAGAGAGACACACAGAGAGACATGGAGAGAGAGATAGAGACACAGAGAGACTTGGAGAGAGAGACACACAGAGAGACATGGAGAGAGAGACATGGAGAGACTTGGAGAGATAGACACACAGAGAGACATGGAGAGAGAGAGAGAGACATGGAGAGACTTGGGGAGAGAGAGACACAGAGAGACATGGAGAGATAGAGACACAGAGAGAGACTTGGAGAGAGAGAGACACAGAGAGAGACTTGGAGAGAGAGATAGAAACACGGAGAGACATGGAGAGAGAGACACACAGAGAGACTTGGAGAGAGAGATAGAGACACAGAGAGACATGGAGAGAGAGAGACACAGAGAGAGACTTGGAGAGAGAGAGACATGGAGAGACTTGGAGAGAGAGACACACAGAGAGACATGGAGAGAGATAGAGACACAGAGAGAGGCTTGGAGAGAGAGAGACACAGAGATAGACTTGGAGAGAGAGATAGAGACACGGAGAGACATGGAGAGAGAGACACAGAGAGACTTGGAGAGAGAGAGACACAGAGAGACTTGGAGAGAGAGAGACATGGAGAGACTTGGAGAGAGATAGCGACACGGAGAGACTTGGAGAGAGAGAGACATGGAGAGACTTGGAGAGAGAGAGACATGGAGAGACTTGGAGAGATAGAGACACAGAGAGACTTGGAGAGATAGAGACACAGAGAGACTTGGAGAGAGAGACAGAGAGAGACTTGGAGAGAGAGAGAGAGAGACACACAGAGAGACTTGGAGAGATAGAGACACAGAGAGACTTGGAGAGAGAGAGAGACACAGAGAGACTTGGAGAGAGAGATAGCGACACGGAGAGCCTTGGAGAGAGAGAGAGAGACACAGAGAGACTTGGAGAGAGAGAGATAGACACACAGAGAGACTTGGAGAGAGAGAGAGAGAGACACAGAGAGACTTGGAGAGAGAGACACACACAGAGAGACATGGAGAGAGAGACACACACAGAGAGACATGGAGAGAGAGAGAGACACAGAGAGACTTGGAGAGAGAGACACACAGAGAGACATGGAGAGAGAGATAGACACACAGAGAGACTTGGAGAGAGAGACACGGAGAGACATGGAGAGAGAGATAGAGACACAGATAGACTTGGAGGGGGCCTTCTCAGCGGCAGCGATGGGGAGAACGCCCCCCATCGGCGTTGGGGATGACGAGGCCCCTCTTGGTCCCCCTCCACCGGAGCTCTCAGTCGTGCCACTGCATCGCCAATGCCGACAAACGAAGGCGGATCACAACCTGTGCCGGCTGGAAGACCTACCGGAGGTGGCCTTCGCAAATGTAAAGAGGAAGGTGCTCTCCTCCTACATGGTCCGGTTCCACCAACAGGACACCCCGAGGAGCCACAAGGACCATGCCTGGAGGAAAGCCCTGCCCTGCGTCTCTCCGGAGAGGCCTCGCTGGAGGCAACTCTACTCCAGACCGACGTACAACCGCATCGGCGACCTCAGCTGGAGCATCGCCTACGGCACCGTCACCACCGACGCCTCCCTGGCGCGCTTCACCGACACGTCCCCGGAGTTCCGGTTCTTCGGTAAAGTGGAGACTGTTGCACACCAATACATAGAGTGCAAGAGCCTGGACTCGTCGTTCAAGGTCCTGAGAAACATCCTCCTAAGGTTCAGCCTCCACTTCTCCCCGACGGTCCTCATCTTTGGATACCCGAAGGCCGACGGACCCCAACATCTTCAGGGGCTGGTCAACGTGCTCGTCGGCTACGCCAAGCTCGCCATATACAGGGCAAGGAAGGTGGCTTTGGAGGGGCAACGTCCGGCCAGCAGCCTGGGCATCTTCTGCGCTCTGGTCGGAGCCAGGGTGTGTGGGCCGGAGTTCCGCCATGCGTGGCTGACCCACGCCGTGCCGACCTTCAAGGAGTAGTGGGCGCTGGAGGAGGCCGTGTGCTCGGTGGCAGATGGCGGAGAGCTCTGCATGCAGATATGAGCTACCCGTCTGAGGCCGTTTGACTGAGAGGAGGGCTGCGTACAGATGCAGCACTTGTCGTAGTTATAAAAAAAGAGAGCGAGAGAGTGAGCGAGCGAGAGCGACATGGAGTAGGAAGAAAGAGGGAAGAGAGAGGGGGGGCAGAGAGGGGGGTAGAGAGAAAGGGAAGGGGTAAGGAGAGCAGTGCGAGAAATCTTTTGTTAAATCTTTCATTTAAAAGGGGGGGGGGGGGGGGTTACATAAAGCAAAGCATTAAAAACAAAAAAACGAAATGATGAACAAAGCAAAGTGCCGACTACACCGAGAATCTTATTTTTTCCTCTGATAGTAAAAAAAAGAGATAGAAACACAGAGAGACTTGGAGAGAGAGCCAGACACACACAGAGAGACTTGGAGAGAGAGAGAGACACGGAGAGAGGTGGGGGAGAGGTAGAGACACAGAGAGAGAGAGACACCGAGACAAAGAGTCGTCCACAGAAGTGGAGACACGGAGACCTGGCGAGAGATTGAACACAAAGAGACCATCATCATCATCAGCCATGGCGCCCCGAAGCCGTCGCCACCTCTCACAGGGCTCACGGCCCTGTGAGAGGTGGCGACGACGACTCCTGTGACGAGGGCGGCCTCAGACGTCGTCGTCGTCGTCTTCAGACTCCGCCCGTGGTCAAATTGAGCTCCAGAAACATCGACGTCGATTCGTTGTGACTATCCTTGTGTGCTGCGCGTGCTGCGTGTGATGTCCGTACTGTGTGTTGCACGTGCTATTTGTGTTCCACGTGCTCTTCGTGCTGCACATGCTGCAAGTGCTGCGCATGCTGCGCGTGATGTGTGTGCTGTGTCTTGCACGCGCTGCATTTGCTGCACTTGCTCTTCGTGCTGCGCGTGCTGCGCGTGTGCTGCGTGTGTGCTGTGTGTGTGCTGCGCGTGTGCTGTGTGTGTGCTGCGCGTGTGTTGTGTGTGCTGCGTGTGTGCTGTGTGTGTGCTGCGCGTGTGCTGTGTGTGTGCTGCGCGTGTGTTGTGTGTGCTGCGTGTGCCGCGTGTGTGCTGCGTGTGCTGCGTGTGTGCTGTGTGTGTGCTGCGCGTGTGCTGTGTGTGTGCTGCGTGTGTGCTGCGTGTGTGCTGTGTGTGTGCTGCGTGTGTTATACGTTGCTGCGCTGCGTCACTCACCAGCTCTCTTCGGATTGCTTCATGCTGACCGCGTACTCCACGCTGCGATGGCGCAGGCGGTGAAATAAGCTCTGGAGGTTGCTGCTGCCCATAGCCAGCAGGGCGCTCATCTGGAACCTCGCCGTGCTGCCGATGTTTGTCGCTCCTCACGCGGACGGAGCAGGACCCGTCCAAGGTGTGTTCCAGTAAATAATAAAAAAAACGACGATCGCCCGCAACACGTGTGGCACCGATGGGTCAGCGGAACCTCGGGACCCGTCACGAAGTCAACTCTCAGGCGGGTCGAGTGTTGCGTCTCTCAAAAAAAAACCACACGAACGCTCCCTCTCAGCGGAACGGTTAAACGTTCTCCGAACACTCGGCCTGTGTGAGCGACACGAGGTGCGTCCCGCTGGCTCTGCGATGTCGCGGTGTCCAATCGACACGGCCGAACGCGCATTCCATCATCGCGTCGCCGCGCGCGGGCCCGAGAAGTGCGTCTCGCCTATACACTCGGCTCGGGCGAGAGGGCGCTCCGGTGCAAGGTGCACGAGAGGAGCGCGAAGCCGAGTCGGTCGCTCCAGGTCACGAGCATCGGTAGCCCGCAGGAGAAGAACCCCCAAAAAAAATAGCGGCGACGGAGCGACCGCAGCCGACGGACGGAGCGGCAGGCGGAGTTGTGTGGGGAGGGTTGCCGCGCCGCGAGGACAATTACAGGCGGCACCGTCCCACGTGTCGCTGTGGGCGGGTGTCGCTGTGGGCGGGTGTCACTGTGGGTGGGTGTCGCTGTGGGCGGGTGTCGCTGTGGGCGGGTGTCACTGTGGGTGTCGCTGTGGGTGTCACTGTGGGTGGGTGTCACTGTGGGTGTCACTGTGGGTGGGTGTCACTGTGGGTGGGTGTCACTGTGGGTGGGTGTTGCTGTGTGTGGGTGTCACTGTGGGTGGGTGTCACTGTGAGAGGCTGTCACTGTGGGTGGGTGTCACTGTGGGTGGGTGTCACTGTGGGTGGGTGTCACTGTGGGTGTCACTGTGGGTGTCACTGTGGGTGGGTGTCACTGTGAGAGGCTGTCACTGTGGGTGTCACTGTGGGTGTCACTGTGGGTGGGTGTCACTGTGGGTGGGTGTCACTGTGGGTGGGTGTCACTGTGGGTGGGTGTCACTGTGGGTGTCACTGTGGGTGTCACTGTGGGTGGGTGTCACTGTGAGAGGCTGTTACTGTGGGTGGGTGTCACTGTGGGTGGGTGTCACTGTAGGTGGGTGTCACTGTGGGTGTCACTGTGGGTGGGTGTCACTGTGGTGGGTGTCACTGTGGGTGGGTGTCGCTGTGGGTGGGTGTCACTGTGAGAGGCTGTCACTGTGAGAGGCTGTCACTGGGGGTAGGTGTCACTGTGGGTGTCACTTTGGGTGGGGGTCACTGTGGGTGGGTGTCACTGTGGGTGGGTGTCACTGTGGATGGGTGTCACTGTGAGAGGCTGTCACTGTGGGTGGGTGTCACTGTGGGTGGGTGTCACTGTAGGTGGGTGTCACTGTGGGTGTCACTGTGGGTGGGTGTCACTGTGGGTGGGTGTCACTGTGAGAGGCTGTCACTGTGGGTGGGTGTCACTGTGAGAGGCTGTCACTGTGGGTGGGTGTCACTGGGGGTGGGTGTCACTGTGGGTGGGTGTCACTGTGAGAGGCTGTCACTGTGGGTGGGTGTCACTGTGGGTGTCACTGTGGGTGTCACTGTGGGTGGGTGTCACTGTGAGAGGCTGTCACTGTGGGTGTCACTGTGGGTGTCACTGTGGGTGGGTGTCACTGTGAGAGGCTGTCACTGTGGGTGTCACTGTTGGTGTCACTGTGGGTGGGTGTCACTGTGGGTGGGTGTCACTGTGAGAGGCTGTCACTGTGGGTGGGTGTCACTGTGGGTGGGTGTCACTGTGGGTGGGTGTCACTGTGGGTGGGTGTCACTGTGAGAGGCTGTCACTGTGGGTGGGTGTTGCTGTGGGTGGGTGTCACTGTGGGTGGGTGTCACTGTGGGTGGGTGTCACTGTGAGAGGCTGTCACTGTGGGTGGGTGTCACTGTGGGTGCTAACGTGCGGTCCCCGTGGGAGTCGCGAGGATTCGGAAGGCGCCCTCACGTAGAGCGCAAAACCCCAACCATGGCCACTGTGCAAACGGCTTCGTTCGAGAGAGAGAGGCGCCTTTGGTTACACCACAGGTGGAGATAAACCCACAAACGTTCACACACACACAATTAGAGCACGCTCGTGAAATAATATAAAGTTGACAAAGAGAGGGGGGGGGCGACATTTAAAATAATGATGTGATGTCAGAATATAAATCAGAAAGCTAAATGATAGAAAATAGATATTCGGCCTTAATTTTAAGGCAGGGGTTGTCATCTCTGAGATCAGTTATTAAAAAAAAAACCCTGGACGTGTCGTGAGAAGAAGAAAAAGAATATCAAACAATAGCAGACGATGAGAGAACTACATGGACATCTGTGAAAAAAGCTTAATAGCTCATCGGATTCCTCCCGTATAAACAAATATTCTGACTCTGATATGGGTGTAATGGATTGTCATGAGTGGTTGACTTCAGATGTCCCAAGAAGACTTCCTCCACATGATCCCAGGGCAGTAGCGGCCTGCTCATCAAGAGGACGATCCTGGGAAAATGAGGCAACCCTAACCCACCAGGGAAGTTCCAAAACATTGTGACGAACCAGTTTGGATAAACCTCTTCACACCAACCATTCCTCCATTTCATCATCCATGACCCCTTTTGGCCTGTGTGCTGTGCAAAAGGGACATTTCCCGAAACGTCACCTACGAAACGTTGATTTCATCATTTCCCAAGGCCACAGTGTCATTGACGAATCCGTGGATTGGCCGTGAGCGAGAGTCATACATACACACACCCCGAACCTTCGGTGGTCATCAGCGCACCAACAATGGTGCCCACGGTCCAGATGATGGCCTTGTCGAGGACAGGGTTAAACGTTCGGTTACAGATCACAAGGACGCCGTGACGAGTCCACCGCGTGCGTCTTTTGACACGGGTCATCGTATCACTTGGTAGCAACATTTTTTGGAAAAAAAATTACAGCTGAAGGCTGACATTGTAACCAGTGAATGAGTCACACAAACATGCAGTCGCCACCGGAGACGGAGATACCTTTCAAACATCGGCATCCGTTGTTGATGTCGTCCTGTCCTCGCGGCCCAGGGGTAACCGTGCGAGCGATGTTTTGGGTTGACACATCCTGCACCGTGTAGCCAAAGCCGTCTCACTTTGCCAGTTTTATTTTCAGTCAAAATATCGCGAGCCCCCGCGAGTTTGCCCTTGACCCTTTTAAACCGCAGCGACACCGCGAGGTACCTATCTGCATGCCGATATAAGACAAAGACACCCCGTATAGCTTTAACAGACTGTTGAGGCAAGTGTTGTTAGTGAGCGCGGCACACAGAGGGCGTGGGTGGCCAGCACCACGCCCGGCCGCCTTTGTCTCCCCAGTGGCGATGTTTTTTTACACATCGCACCAGGTGCTCATTTGTGGCCGAGTCGACCTAGGGTAGGACCAGGGACCGATTCAGATAATCGTCACCGGTGTTGGTGGCCGTGAGCGGGAATCGAACTCGGGTCTCTGCCGTGTTCGGAGCACGGCTGTGGCGCGCTTGCCGCTACACAAACCGCTCCCCGCTGCATGCCGATGTATGGATCCTGCACACCTGCACGCGTTAACCCGCAGCAGTCTTACCGTGAAAAAGAAGAAGCAGAGGAAGATGAAGCGCGGATGCGAGAATGGATTTGGCTGCGAACTTCTGCGGACACGGCGCGAGCTTCTTGGCTGCGAGGCGGCTGGGCGCTGGGCGCTGTCATCGCCATTCTGCCAGCCGGGGCCACCGCCGGGAACGCAGAGGCCCACGCTGGGGTCCTCGACTCACGTCCTTATCAAAGAAACCAAGTCCGGACCCGTCATTAATAACTCTCGGCCTTTATCAAGACTACAATTGAAAGCAAACTCAAATTTTGATTTAAAGCTTTCGTGACTGCAGGTATTCATATTCTTGGTTATTTTGGTAAAGTCACGTAGAAGGGAAACAATAAAATAATACAAATATTAAAAACATTCAAATTCTCACGACGTTTCGACTGCAACACAAGCAATCACCATCAGGTGTGAAAACCACAGCAAGAATTTTTTGAAAAAAGTGGCGTTTTTTAACTTTAGCACCACGGAGAGCGATTTGGCAGTAATTCAGATGGACCAGTCCATCTATGTTCGGAAAAGAGGAGGGGGGAGACGAAAATAATGGATGCGGTCTGAAAGCCACCATAAGCGTGAACAATCAATTAAGACCCGAAATGGTTTATCAAATCCGTCCAATGATTGCTAAGCCAGAATCCATCTTCTCGGTTGAAATTGTCTGTGTTTATATGTGGATAGCCTCATGAACGAATCTCTCATGGTAGCCAGATGGCTTGCAGAGAACCTCTGTCTTGGAGAAGTCAATGTCATGTGAGCCTACTGAATTATAACAGTGATCTGCCACGGCCGAGGTGTTGGTCCTACCAGAAGAATTCCCTCATCAAGACTCTGCACTATAGAGCCCAATGCATATCCGACCAGGAACACATAGCCAGTGAACTCAAGCACGTACACCAAGCTCTTAAGGCTAATGGTTACTCCGACTACACAATCCGTAAAGCTATCACTCCAACCATGAAGAAGGACCCTCTTGAGGAGCCATTCAAAACCATCACTTTACCCTACATTGCGGGGATCACAAAAAAGATCTCCAAAATCTTGAATAAACACAAGATCCAGGTCCGATTCAACACATTACATAAAATCCGTGATCTGGTTGCGTCTGTAAAATATGTGATTCCGGACATACAGAACCCTGGCGTCTACAAACTAAGTTGCCTCTGTGGTAGTAGTTACATTGGAGAAACCAAACGACATGTCTCGGACCGCATCCGTGAACACAAAGCAGACCTAAAACACGGTAGGACCAACACCTCGGCCGTGGCAGATCACTGTTATAATTCAGTAGGCTCACATGACATTGACTTCTCCAAGACAGACGTTCTCTGCAAGCCATCTGGCTACCATGAGAAATTTGTTCATGAGGCTATCCACATATACAAACACAGAGACAATTTCAACCGAGAAGATGGATTCTGGCTTAGCAATCATTGAAAGGATTTGATAAACCATTTCGGGTATTAATTGATTGTTCACGCTTACGGTGGCTTTCAGACCACATCCATTCTTTTCGTCTCCCCCCTCCTCTGTTCCGAACATAGATGGACTCTGATTTAAAGCTTTCGTGACTGCAGGGATTCATATTCTTGGTTCTTTCGGTAAAGTCACGTAGAAGGGAAACAATAAAATAATAAAATAATAATCATATAAAACTTTACCGAAAGAACCAAGAATATAGATGGACTCGTCTATCTGAATAACTGCCAAATCGCTCTCCGTGGTGCTAACGTTAAAAAAGACGCCACTTTTTTCAAAATTTTCCTGCTGTGGTTTTCACACCTGATGATGATTGCTTGTGTTGCAGTCGAAACGTCGTGAGAATTTTTACGGTTTTTTATATTTTTATGATTTTATTGTTTCCCTTCTACGTGGCTTTACCGAAAGAACCAAGAATATGAAAGCAAACTCGTTGAAGAAAAACAAAAATATGCTGCTGTGCGGCTAAAGGGACATTTGTCGTCAGGCAGACTTCTTGACTAAAAATTACACTTTTATACTTT